AATTGAGTTCATATCAGGGGGGTTGAATTCCCAACCAAACAAAAACCATAGACCAAACATGAACGGAGATCCGACAAAGAAAGAATAAGTGACACACAGTTTCTTCTTCTTCCCGACAAAGAGGGCAAACTAAACCATTAGAGTTAACCATACCTCTTTTCCATAGCTGATACCACGTTGGAAGGCGATCTAGAGCAACTCTCCAACCAAAGAATTTTATGCTAGAAGGTACCGAGGCGTTCCAAATTTTTTTCAACAAACTAGAAATTGAGGGATTCAATGCTAACCTTACTCCTTGCAAGAAAATCAGCCTTGAATAAGCATTTTTAACCGAGAAGCCTTGTGGGTGCCGCCACCAAATGAAAGAGTCCTGACCTTGATGGTGAGGCTGCATTTCAGCTAAGATCAGCCGCAGTTCATGAAGCTCTTGAACAACCAGAGCAGACAGCGAATCAGTGCCAAAATTATCGTTCCAATGCCAAAGACCATCAGTCCAAAAAACAGAAGAAAATACACTAGTAGATTTGTTTGAGACAGATTCATAAAGGGATAGAAACATGTGTTTTAGAGGTTAAGAACCGATCCAGAGATAGTGCCAAAAATCTATAAGCATACCGTTCCCAAGTTTGCAAGACACCCCTTTGTCAAACCAATTCTCCTCTTCTCCAAATTTACCAACAATCTCCTTCAAGTCCCTCCACCAAATAAAAGCTTTCGGCAAATTGGAAGGAAATCTCGACGGTTCAAAAACAATCCTCTTTATATCGCCATAACGGAAAGTAAGAATCGACGCTCCCATATATGGAGGATTTAAACAGAATTTCCAAGCCCATTTAGATAGAAGAGCTATATTGAAAGCTTCACAGTCTTTGATTCCCAATCCACCGTCAGCTTTTGATTTACAAATATCCGCCCATGCAACCCAATTGATCCTACGTATTTGTTTCTCTTTCCATAAAAAAACTCTTTGAATGTTGATAATCTCTTGCAAGACTACTCTAGACGCACGGTAAAAAGAAAAGAGGAAAACCGATATTGAATTTAAGACTGAATTGATCAAAGTTAATCTACTGCCAAATGAGATGTGTTTTCCTCTCCACAAAGAAAGCTTGTTTCTAATCTTTGTCACCATCGGCTCCAATGTGGTTTTCCTTCTCGTGTTCGCTCCTATGGAAATTCCCAAGAAGTTAAACGGCAAGCCGGTCGTAGAGCAAGAGAGGAAAATTGACGCAGCCTCGAGGAACCCATCATTCAAATTGACACCAATTACCTTGTTTTTTGTAAAATTCACTTTTAGCCCGGACACTAGTTCAAACTCCCTTAGCATCACTTTAACGGCTAGAATGTTTTCTCTATTTGAATACTTTAAACAATTTGAATTATATTTGCAGTTTTTATTTGTAAATTATTTTTAATCACACAACTCATAAGAAAGGGCATTTCGGAATTTTAAAATTTAAAATCCTACTTCTCTCTCCATCCAATTTCTCTATTTCTCTTTCCAATTTGAATTTTTGATCCGGTTTTAGCACATATCCTTACCAAAGATTACATGATTTCTGTCTTCAACAGTGAGTTTTAGTTTTTTGATTTTCAATTTTAGCACAAAACCTTAATGAATTTTATTTGGCTCTTGTCTTTCAAATAGATATATACATGTTTAGATTTGTGTTTGAAATATTGGATTTGTTCAACTATAATGATTTAAAGAGAATGTGGTTTTTGAATGCACATTCAAAGTCACACAACATGTAAACTGCACAAATGTTGATCTTGAGATTATTTTGTTTATGGCAATAGTTTTGGTTGAGGGAATGTTGATTCAATCTTTCTTAAAGTGGTGGTGCTAGCCTTTACTCTTTGTTTTCTCTCGTTTTTAGTATTTGATCTTACTAATGTTGTTTTCCTCAAATCTCATGGATGGATATTCTTTACAAAACTTGTGGAGCAAATAATATTGCTGGAAGCATTACAATTGTGGTTGTGAAATTACAATTGTTTTTGGTGTTTTCACCCTGTTACGTGGTTGTGAAATTACAATTGTGATTGCTTGTGTTGCATTTCTTCATTACAATTGCGGTTGTGGCGTTACAAGCATTGTGGTAACAGCGTTACAATTGTGATTGTTTCCATCGCAATTGCAGCGTTACAAGCATTGCGCTTGCTCCTCCATAGATTCATTACGTTACAGCTGACTGAACGGCTAGCTTTATTATTTGTCAGTAGAGAAGTTCAAATTTCTGCTAAAATAAGACATGGCTCAATACCAGCTTTTGACTTTATAATTTTTCTTAGTGCAACATAGATTGTGATGTACATTTATATTTTGTTCCTTTTTAATCACCTTTTTTTCTTCATCTGTTGCTAATGATTAAGGATTAAGGCATGGTTAATTTCATTTTATGGAAATAAAATACGGTAAATTTTACTCGCATGTTACATTTGCTTGTATTCCATTGTGAAATTGTTGTCTTTGTGTTTTAGTACATAATTCTGAACGAACAATAGTAATTGATTGCATTGAAAGTAGAGATGGCAATAAGATTCATTAAGACAAAATTCATTCAATTCATCCATCAAAAAATTCATATCATTCATTTACCACATAAAAAAATAAGTTAATGAATTGGATTAAATCCATCTATTTATATGCATAGATGGATTCAATCCACCCAACATATTTTAAAAATCCAATAAATTATTTTTATTTTTGTTATATTATTTTTTTTTTAAATAATTAAAAGTAAAATTTTTAAAATATAATTAAAAATAATTTTTTTTTTTAAAAAAATTGTTTTTTTTTCAATAAAAAATTGTAATTTTTTCAAAAAAAAAAATTCATTTTTTTCCGAAAAAAAATCTGTTTTTTTTCTGAAAAAAAATCTGTTTTTTTTCTGAAAAAAAATCTGTTTTTTTTTCTGAAATAAAAATCGTTTTTTTTTTTTGTGTGAAAAATCGAATTTTTTTTTCAAATTAAAAAACTGATTTGTTTTTCGACAAAAATCAATTTTTTAAAAAAATGGTTTTTTTAAGAAAAAACCAATTTTTTTAATAAAAAAAAAGATCGACTTTTTTAAAATACAAAAAACCGACTTCATAATTTTTTTTTAAATACAAAAAATGAATTTTTCAAAAATAAAATAAAATCGAATTTTAAAAATAAAAAAAATTATTTATTTTTACAAAATAAACAAATTTATTTATTCTTACAAAATAAAAAAAAAAGTTGGATTCCATTAAACATATGTTAATGGATGAATTTGATGAATTTTATTCTTAATGAATGGATTTGATTAAATAATTTTAAAAAAATTTTAATGGATTGTTAATAGACTAATAGATTATTTTAATCCATCCATTTTGCGATAGACTAATAGATTATTTTAATCCATCCATTTTGCGATAGACTCATGTTTACAAGTTAAGTTATGATAGGCTTCCAATCACCCTTGTCAACTGCTTGCTAATAAGACGTGAGAGCTGTAGAGGGTGATGGGATCTCCACGACGATTCCCTAAGGCAAAAGAACTCATATGACGTGCTATTCCCCTTGATGTTGGTTTCTACGCTAGTCACTCCATGCATGATGATATTATTCATCTTCAAAGGTAACTTGATTTCCTCCAATATCCTCTAGATGAATTTCCAACTTAGCTTATCATAAGCTTTCGAAAGGTCGACTTAAATAGGAAAGAAGCCATTCTTACCTTTCATTTTGTTCATATTATGCACAATCTCTTTGGCCACTATGATGCTTTCGTGTATGCTCCGACCCAGCATAAAGCCCTACTAGTAAGGGGAGACAAGTATAGGAATACTCCCTTTGAGACGTTCTACAAGAACCTTACTCACAACTTTGTAGATAGCATTGCACAGGAAGATTGGCCTAAACTGGATGACAAATTCAGGCCGATTTGTCTCATGGATAAGGAAAATATTTGTTTAGTTTGTAGTTTCTACTTGACTTTGACTATTCACATCTTTTTTATGTAGTCACACACTTTCCTACCAACTACATTCCACGAGTTTTGGTATAACCCCGCATGAAACCCATATGGCCGAGGAGGTTTCCAAGGGTTCATCCACAACACTGCATGTTTAATCTCATCATCCGTTATATACTTGCCTAGCTTCTCCATAACCATAGGATATATACGAGGAAAGGTGTATGTGGTTTGCTTCCATGCTTGTCTAGTGTCATTCAATGCAAAGAGACTTTTATAGTGGTTGATGAAAATTTGTTGCACTTGATTATCTTCTTCAATCCACTACCCATCATCATTCTTTATAATCACAATGTTGTTTCGTCTTCTACGCTGCACCGTCTCGAGATGATAATGTTTCATATTTCTATCACCATCCATGAGCCATTTAACCCTGGACCTCTCTGGAACCACGTTAGCTCTTCTTTTTTTATGAGCTCATGCATATCATGTTGAAGTTTCTACTCGAGCCATCTTAATCCTCCCACGTGTCTCTTGGATTGGATTTTATTTTGAATGCCGACAATGTGTTTCATAACCTCCTTTTTCTGCGTAGTTACTTAGTTAAAGATGCTTCATTTCCAGTTTTTAACTCCTTTGAACTTCTCCAAATTTTGGAGAATGGACGTTTCATTGTTCCAGCATGCCTTTAACATATTGTGATATGAATCCTCTAATAACCATGCAATCTCTACTGATTCCATTTGATTCAGAAGCTTGCCCTAGCAGAGAGCTTGTCGTCTCCATCATGATAAGTTACCACCAATATCACCACATTCTTTCAGAATCCAATGTTCTTGATATATTGAATGCAATGTTCTTCATATATTGAATATAATGTATCTTTTCATCAACAAAAATAAGAAAAATGGATGACCAATCTTATGTCATTATAGTCCTTGTATAGCGAGCTTAATTTATTTTAAAAGTTCAAGATAAAAACATTACAATACTAGACAAAACAAAACAAATAATGACAACAAAAGGAGAAATTAAAGTTATAAATGACATAACTCTTCATGCTTCAACTTTAGTGTTTGATTGTTGCTTCATGATATCTTGGATCAACAAAGTAACATTTGTGTGAGAAGACCCTCCTTTTTCTACAGCCTTTTTAGCCGTCTGACTAAGCTCTCTAATCCTTTTTCTTCTTTCTTCACTTTCACTTGTCTCATCCATTAACCTTTCTATTCCTCTTTCAATATCTTCCTTCTTCACCAACACACTTATTTCCTCTTCCTCACCCCATTTCATTGGATTCTTCACTCCAATTTTGACACCAACTTTTAATACTTGCACGATCAAAATTTCATCAAAAAATTGATCGTTAAAACGTGGCCATGTAACCATTGGCACACCAGCACATATTGCTTCAATAGTGGAATTCCAACCACAATGTGTCAAGAATCCTCCAACTGATGGATGTGACAATATCAACAACTGAGGAGCCCAACCCTCAATTACTAGACCTCTACCATTGATTCTACCCTCAAATCCACTTTCCTCCATCCATTTTTTCAATTCATCTAACCGGTTTCTCTTTCTTATAACCCAAATAAAAGGTCTTTTTGTTGCTTCTAATGCTAAACCAAGCTCTATCATCTGTGGTGATGTGAAATTGCATAAACTTCCAAAACATGCATAGATTACACTCCCTGGCTTCTGAGAATCAAGCCATTTGAGATGAATCCATTCATCAACTGAAACATTCTTATCATTATGACCTCTTTGAACCTTATCCAAGCTATCAGTGTTACTAAGTGATACAGGACCAATACACCAAACTTTATCATTTTTTATCTTCTTATAATCCTTTACAAATGCTGACTCTAACTCTTCAAAGGAATTCACAATTACTCCATAAGAAGCCACTTCAGCTTTAATCATATCTTTACTAAACTGCTTCCAAGCTTCATCCATTAATCCTAGATCTAATTGTGATATATTTATCTCAAACTTTTCAGAAAAACCAGGCAATGCAAAATACTCATTTGGATTATTAGCCATGGTTTGCCTCATATTACAAACACGTAAATTATACATAGACAAGAGAAAAAAGCAACAAGCTCCAAGAAAAGAAACTCTTGGAACATTGAATTTTCTAGCTATGTTGATTGTATATGGTAAACACATATCAGAGATTATGCAACTTGGTCGCGGTGTTAACTCTTCAAATATTTTTTCAGCTTCTTCTTGTTGAAATTTTGTGGAATTGAAGAAATCTGATGCAGCACCAAGTGAAGTAAGCATGTCAAGATTCTCACACCCTTCTGGTAATCCAGACTCTTTGGATGGAAATTGGAGATGGATTACATGAATCTGTAGACCAGATTGCAGAAAACGTTGAAAGATTGATGAGAAACGAGAGGCATTTTTTGGAGTTGTTAATATTGTAACGACAACGTTGGAATGTTGTGCCAATATTTTAGCAATATCCATCATAGGGATCATGTGACCTTGTGCCATCATCGGAAACAACACAAAGTGGAGCTTTTGATCTTTGGATGCCATGGCTGAAACTTGGAAGGGTTAATTTTGTATATAGGGTGGTTATGAGTTCAGCTATAGTTGTAACACATATTTATATACTAACTCGGGTCATGAATTTAACTTCCTAAACTAAAAATTATACGACTAGTTTTTTAACATGCATTATACACGGATATTCTATTACTAAATATATTTGCAATTATAAAATATGCTCTAATAACATTCTTTAAACAACTCTTTTTTGGTAAAAAGATAGAGTTATATATATATATATATATATATATATATATATATATATATATATATATATATATATATATATATATATATATATATATATATATATATATATATATATATATATATATATATATATATATATATATATATATATATATATATATATATATATATATATATATATATATATATATATATAAGCGAAAATGATATTCTTCCTTTTATTTTTGTAAAATTATGTAATAAATATTTGTAAATAAAATTTGTCATGAACATGGGTTTTATAATTTATAATTTATTAGGTATTCAAGAATAAAATTAGCGTTTACTAGGGGTGTTCGCGGTTCGGTTTGAATCGGTTTTGAAGTAAAATATCATCCGATCTAAAGATATATTTACTTGCGGTTTGGTTCGATTTTGAATGATTGGTTAAAAAAATTCGATCCAATTTCTTGCGATTTGATTTGAATTGGTTTTTTGGATATCCAAATTACAAATTATAATTTTATTAATATTGTAAAAACACTAATAAATAATAAATTTGATATAATATATAACATATACTTTATTAAAAATTAATACTACAAAATGATAATGAATTATGAGTGAAACAAATAAAATACTAAAAATTAATAGATTAAATCAAACTAATAAATAATATTTTATAAAAAAGTTTCATCTAATAATAAATTAACATAACCTATTATACTAATAAAAAATAAATACGTATAAAAATATATATGTGGTTCGGTTTGGTTTGAATCGATTTTGAAAAATCAATTTGAAATTCGAATTGATCGATTTTTTTAAAATGTCATCCAAACGAATTCAATAATTTTCAATTTTTTGTAGTTTTTAATTTTTTTAATCTATTTACAATTTTTATTTAAATTGATTTGAATTTAAATACTCCAAACGTTTACTTAATCATATATTAATTATTATAGGGTTCTAATATGGAGTTCATAAATTCATATCCATTTATAATTGCTAAAATATAATTTTGTTAGTCATCTATAGTTAAGACATATTTATATACTAACTTGGTTCATGAATTTAATTTTTTAACTAAAAAATTATACGACTATTTTTTAATATGCACCGTACAATCATGTGCTTATGATGCTTTCTGTTACTAAATATATTTGTTATTATTAAATACAGGTAAGCTATTTTGACATTACGTTACACCGTAGACTTAACAAAGACAAATATTATTGTATGAAATTCAAGATAAAATAAATTATTATAAAGTAGAATTTGTATGTCATATGTATAAATGTATGGTGTTCGGATATCGAAAGAGTGTCAATATATCATTTCTATATTAAATATGAATTTAATTGTAAAACAACTTTAACTAATTTTTATTTTTTTTCTTCCTCCTTCTTTATCTTTTGTAAAATTTAATAGGCTTTCTTTTTATGTTTGTTCAAGAAACTCAATCTTTTTTCTCATATTTTAATTTGTTCTTAACGACATCAATTCACAACAAATTAGTGCGGTGAACGTGGAGAAGAAGACGCTGTCAGCAAAGTATGAGATTGAGAAATTCACTAGTGTGTATGATTTCGGTTTGTGTCACTTGAAGATGCAAGCTCTTATTGTTCAACAGGGTTTGTTAGAAGCATTGAAAGGATCAACGAAGATGGATACTGTAACAACCCGATTTTTAATAACTGATTAATTGTACTAGTTAGTTGGTTTGTATGGTTTAAGTGAATTATTGGGTTTAACTGATTTATTCTATTTGGTAGAATCATGAGGGTTTATCAAATGTTTTCCAACCAATGTCAAGAGGAGATATTTTATGAGAAAATGAATTGACAAATATTTTAAGAGAAGAAATATAATTGGAGAGAAATAGGAAGGCATGACATATATATATATGGGGGAAGAGGAACGATAATGGATAATAGAAAACATGAAAGGAAAGTGGAGGAAGAAGAGAAAGTAGAAGGAAAAGCTTGGAAAAGCTCAAGAACGACTTCTAGCTTCCGATTAATCGAGGTAAGGGTGTGAAATCTTACTATCTTAATCAATGCGTATGATTATGCATGTGTGTGTTTGGATTTGTTGGGGGTTTCCTACATTTTTCCATTTGTAGGTCGGAAGTGGATTTAATCGGTAGAAACTGAGTTTTATCGATTAGAATTTGGAATAGGCGGTGTAGTATAGTCGGGTGATGAGTGGGCTGTGCTACTGGAACTCATTTGGATTAAATCGGTTGGTTTTGTGAGGTTTGGGCTTTTGGACAGCCATGGAAGTTCTGATCTCGCAGGTTCGCAAGGCGAATTGCAGCGAGGCTTCGCCAGGCGAAGCCCAGCGAACGGTAGCGAATCAAGTCAGAACCAAATACCCTGTTTTCGTTGGCAAGTTCGTCAGGCGAATGAATGTGGCGAAGGTTCGCCAGGCGAGTATGCTAGCGAGTGCTAGCGAGTAATTCCAGAATAAATCCCAGTGGTCTTCGCTGGCAAGTTCGCCAGGCGAACGGGTAGCGAAGGTTCGCCAGGCGAAGGTTAGCGAACACAGCTGCATGTTTTCTTTTCTTGTGTTTTCCATTCGTGGATTGATTGTGTGGTTTGGTTGCGATCATTCCTTGTTTGAGATGACTAATTATATGTTGTTATGTGTGTTGTGGGTAGCCGTATGGCGTGAATCCTAGATTATGAATTGATTGTGAATATGTGGCCTTTTGGCATATGTGATGCATTGTTTAAATTGATTAAAAATGCATGATGGATGTGATTGAGTCTAATGCCATTTGGCACGATATTTGCAAGTACATATTGCTCGTATTTGTAATTGTGAACCATGTTTAAATAATGTGAGTGCATAATGAATATATGCGATTAACATGATGAATGCATGAGTATATTTGTAAACATGTGTGCATTTCAAGAGTGTCATGAGTCATGTTGCATGTGAAGCATCATGGTATGCATTCTTGTGTGTTTGATTCCTCGGAGAATCTGCAGAACCTCGTGTGCCCTTGTGGGGTGTGAGCGATGGTTATTTATTGATTCCTCGGAGAATCTGCAGAACCTCGTGTGCCCTTGTGGGGTGTGAACGATGGTTATTTATTGATCCCTCGGAGATTTGCAGAACCTCGTATGTTGCGATGGTTATATTGATTCCTCAGAGAATCTGCAGAACCTCGTGTGCCCTTGTGGGGTGTGAGCGATGGTTATTTTTGGTTCTTCAATTGAACCTGCTGAAATGAGTCGGTACCGCATTTGCATCTGCATAGAGTCGTGTGTCAGTCTCTATGAGTTGCATGTTGTCATCTTCATATGATGCATTGGTGAAATAAACATGAATGTAGATGTTTATGTGAATTAGCAATGGAGTAAACATGTTGTGTGTGTTTATTGAGTTAATGTGTATGTTATGTGAATTAATGCGAATTGCGGTAAAAGAAACATAATGTATATGTGATTGTTATGAGAAGTGTGCACATGTGTGTGTGTGTGTGTGTGTGTATATATATATATATATATATATATATATATATATATATATATATATATATATATATATATATATATATATATATATATATATATATATATACACGATATGTTGATGTGGGAGTGGTGAGTGTGTGAATTGATTGAGAAATGTGACATATATGTATTTTATGATTGTTTATATACATAATTATATGCATTGTTATTATGGTAATATTTATCACCCTTCTGCTGTTTTATGATACTCTATGAGGCATTGCAGATTAGGATTGCTGGAGGTGTATTTTGGAGTATAGCTCCTTTTCTCTTGAGTCGGTCGCTCTGATGTGTAACGTCGGGTAGCTAGGCTTGTAGAGTATCTTCGTGATACATTATATATATGTAATAGTTGATGATGTTTGGTAAACTGTGATTTATGTTATGAAGAACCTAATGACGTGTACTTGTATTTTATCATGTCTTAAGTAGTTCAATGTTTTAGTCTTCCGCTTTAACAGAAAACATGAATATGCTTATTTTAAGAACCATGTGTTTATTCTTTTTAGTTGAGATTTACCCCTTTTGAATTATTTCTTTATAAACATTAATATTCATGTGGTCGTTTCGTGAGTAATGTGACGCACTTCTTTTATACCATGAAATAAATATACTCTGATGGAATTTTTAATTCGTGCCTAAATGATTTAATCGTGTTATTTAGGGGTATAGAAAGGGGGCGTTACATTAAGTGGTATCAGAGCAGGTCGGTTCGTCCGGCCAAGTTGTGTGTGTTGGTTGTTCCCTTGTACGCGACATGTGTGTGAAACACTATTGGTACGTGTTTGTTGTTTAGCCTTTGTCTGCAGAAGTGGGAATGATCGAAGTGGGGGAGAAGCTTGTGATTCTCCAGGATGCTGCAAGAAAGGAGTTGTAGCTCGGTGTGTTGTTAAACGCTATTATAGTTTGGTAAAGATGGTTTATACTCCATCATGATTTTCGGCTGTCTGTTGACAAATTGAGGAACTGATCGCCCTTAATCTCTTGTTGATAGTAGTTGGGATTGTGTTGGATGGAATAGACGTGTCTTGCGAGCTTAGATGGTGTGTGCAGTGAATTGTTTGGAGTGAAGCCAAGTGCTTAGGGATTGTTCTGAGAAGTCGACGCAGGACAGTGTCGAGATGTTGAATTTTGATGAGATTTGGAGTGCTAATAAAAGTGGGAGGTTGGCAATTTCCGATTGGTTATGGATGTCTGGAAGTATCCTGACAAAATAAGTGTTACAGGACCAGGATGTGAAGTGGGGTTGTGAAAAAATTAATTTCGGGAACTGGT